ATGGTGCACGTTAAATTACATCTGTGATCTGATCATCTCAAGCCCATTTCCTGGCCATGGTCGTTGAAAACTTACATTTTTCAGTCATGAAATAGAGAACAGTGATGAAAACTTCCATGTTGGAGTTATCGGTCTTTTGTATCATTTCGGCACCCAGCAAGTAAATAGTCAGTCCTCGACTTACGACGGGGTTTGGGACCAATGACCAGGTCATAAGTCGAATTGGTCGTGAGTCGAAAAGCAAAAATAATACATAGAAATTCTAAAATGGGTGTCTCTTTTTCTTCTCAGCACCACAAAAACTCACTTTTATGCTTGCCAGCCATTTTAAAGGGAATTACAAACGAAAATACGTAAGTTGAAAAATATTTTACAGTCAACCCTCACTTTACGCGGTTAATGTAACCCACAGGGTACCGCGGAAAGTGAGAAACGCGTAAAGTGAATAACATAACATATGGGATTAATTGAAATAGAGACCGGGCCGACCCCCAAACTCCACTTTTTGACGACACACAACTATGTTGTAGTAAATATATTATCTTAACTTTATGATAGTATGCACACACAATTAATAATTAAGAGAAATATCAATAATATTAGGTTTTTTAACACTTACATTAGTAGAAAAGATGGCTGGGCACACGGGGATGGGCGGTTGGTTCCGAGGCAGAGGGCAGATTATTGGCCCTCACTTGTATCACTATCCACCACAGAGGCTTGCAGGGCCTCTTTGTCAAACCCCCCAAAGTCCATATAAGTCCATATCCTCACCATAATTATCACTATCACTGACTTGGGCTGGCTGTGGGGGGGTGGCGGGTGAAGAACTGGTAATGTTTTGATGACTGGGCGACCTTGTGCGCACCATGCTCGCGCCGCTTACACAACATGGCGGATGGCGGGAGGTTTGGATCCAAAAATGGCCCGGCTTGCCAGCCGCTCTCCGCGTAAAGGGGTACACGCACCGCGGAATGTGAGCATCCTGGGTTCCGGCAGGGCACCGCGTAAACGTGGAAACGCGGAATGTGGGACCGCGTAAAGTGAGGGTTGACTGTATACGACTGCGGCTGTCTTATGTACGGGTGGTCGTAAGTCGAGTAGGTCGTAAGTGGAGGAGTACCTGTATACACGATGATACTTGAGCAGTAATTTATTTAAACCTAATAATAAGGTATGAGTGTATATATCAACTTCAATATTCACATCAAAATAATCTTCACAGCAGTAGGTGCTGGACTCTGACATGGGGAACTGTCGTCAAGCAGCAAGCCACCATCTCTTCCTTATCTTCTTATCTTTCGGTACTGTGATGAATATTTTGCCTGGTGAGGAATTGTCGGTACTCTTGCACATTGGCACGAAGCACCAACGAATCTTTGTCCTTTCCTTGAACATTGTATATGACCACAAGTCCTGTATTTTTGCTGGTAACAACACATACACCACAACTGGCTGCGTGCAGGCTCCCTCTCGGTGGCTCGAGCCAGTCTCTGACGTCACAACCAATAACAGAGCTTTTGCAGTCACGTGACTATTTAGCAACTTTAATCCTTATTTTTTTTTTACACTTTTTGGCCCAATTTATTTAAAAATATAATTACCATAGTGAATTTAAGAGCTTTCTTTATTCATTGACCTGCCATCTTATGAAAAAATTCCAACCGACAACTCGTCTAATGTAGACAAAATGCGAGAGTCTACCCTCAAGTCCACTCCATGTTTTGTTGTTAAAGTTGGGTTGGTTGGATTACCATACGGCAATTTTTTTCCTCATAAAAATTACTGTCTCTAGAACGAATGGCATCTGAGCGCCAACTGGGCTGATACGTAGATCACACTTACGGTACAGAATTTCTTTCGTAGCCACCTAGCTAACCCAACATGAAGGATGTTGGTAATTGCAGTGTAATACAGTACTGTACTTTTTTCACAATACTATGTATGTAGGATGGTGTGTGCATGTAACTGAGTAAAAGTAAATGAAGAAAGTTACATATATCTACCCAAAAATAGGAGTTGAAAAAACATAACACCTTGCAGCTTGGCCTAGAAGCCTGGTGGTTACACTGACGAGCTTTCCTAGCCACAACGTCACGATTAATCAATATTAAACACTTTTTTATCAGTAAACACTAATAATAGCAGTAAATCCAGTGGAATATGGCAGGAAGTGAGGAGAGTTACAACAGCAGACGACGCGCTAACTAGCAATCAATCACTCCCCTTACCCACCCCCGTTGCCAGGCTGGATGAAGGTGATTGAGGGCATTTGGAAGCCATCACAAGCACGAGGAGCACAGTTGTTAAGAGAGCAGAGTAGCACATGCACGAAACAGACAAGTGTTTAACCCGGATTGAGGCGGAGTGAGTGCTCTTGGCCCAGCCGCCTGGAACAAGAGAGACACCTTGTGGGATGTCATAAAATTCACGGGCTCCCCGTCTTGGCCGCAAAAATGCCAACAACTTTAAAACTACCCACTGACATTCTTGGGTACATCTACGGTGTCACCCGCAAATAATCAAAAGTCGCAATTTAAAGATCCGAGAATTGTAAGGGCATGCTGTACTATGATACATTTGTAACAGAGTGGCTGATGTATTGTCACATATCAATCACAGACACGTTGCCTAAAAACAAGCTACCTCTCTTTAGCAGGCCTCACCCAAAATCAGTCTCCAAGGATAATAATATTGAAAGCTTCCTCCATCTTCACAAAGAAATCCTCCAAAAATTTCACACTAAAAATTCTTATAACCTTTTCAGTTTCGTCTTCCAACTCTACTGCTACCATCTCTCTCTAGTTAGTTCTTGAATGTCTTCATTGGTAAGTTCCTTGAAAACTGAATTAAAAACCTCCTCCATAGAGAAAGCAAACATGTGTGTGTGTGTGTGTGTGTGTGTGTGTGTGTGTGTGTGTGTGTGTGTGTGTGTGTGTGTGCGTGTGCATGTTCGTGTTCGTGCGTGCGTGCGTGTTTTTTTTTTTTTGCAGGGCAGGAGTGAAAGACAATGAATGTGTGTTGCGTGGTGGGAGTGAAAGACAACATATGTCGCGGGAGCCGCCAACATCATACATTCTTTTAAAAAATCCTTCATTATAGCAAATGAACCACCTCATATTTTGCAGAGTTGTATAAAGTAAAACCCCAAGTTATAGTGAACATTTGTTAATCAGACTTTGGTTAAGCGTGGTTTACCTGCGAAATCTGACAATAAAAAGCAGTGTTGCTACCAGTTACACTACTGATTTCTGAAACAGGCCAGAGCTCCTTGTTTCACTACTGAAATATTAGCACCTCTACTATTAGTGGCGGCACTTCCAGCACTGATAGTGGCAGCCAGGTCAGCTGACTGACCCAACCAGCTGCTCTACAAACTCAACTTGCATTTATTTATAATACAGTAATGCAATACTGTACAGTAATTCCATGTTTTTCGCTGGTTTTTTATCGCGGTTTTGACCATTCGCGTTTTTTTTTTTTAATAAAAAATTATACACAAGTATATATATATAAAATATCCTTTAATAACAAAAATTTAATTTTGCGCCATTTTTTATATTCCCCTGTGAGGTGCGGCAAACAGACGCCACCCTTTCCCGCCTCAGACACCCGCTGCTCCGAGAAGCCTCAGTCCACATGTGCCTACCATACTGTGAACGCTACTGTGATTACCTCTTCTGTTTGTCCTCCCACGTGCATTTCACATGACTCCGGGATGTAAGCCAACTTCATCAAAGGCAAATATTATTAGCAAAGACTCTAAAGTGACCAAGAGATCAAGAATAGTGATGACCTTAACGGAAAAAAACAATTTTATTGGACAAGCTCAGAGGTGGCATGAGCTATGGCTTGAGATGTGGTGAAGACTGACGAGTCATTTGTGTCTTTTGTCAGAATACAAGTCTTCAAGTGGAGGAGTGTGGGTGGAAGAGGACTGGCTGGCTGGCGTGACTGCGTGAGGGCAGGCAGACGCTGGGACAGCAGGGAGAGGCCGACCTCAGCGAAATAAATTTTTTTTTATTTACTTGTAAATAAATTTTTTTGTATATAACTGTGTTTACATTTTTCCATTATTATACTACAATATGTTAGTTTCAAATAATGATGTTAGTAAATGCCTGTACATTGCGTCAGTGATCAGTGTGACCACGGGCCGTGAGTGGAGAGCATGGCGTGGTGAAGTGCATGAACTACCTGAACTGTTTGGTGGCCACAGGTACTGTACAGCGATTCCTAAAACAGTATTGGCGGTTTTGGTTTTTTGCAGGGGTTTCAGGAACGTAATTCCCGCGAAAAACACGGGATTACTGTATATTGCAGCTGCTACGTATTTTATTGCAGTCTTTAATAGGGTTCTGAGTTTAGGTAAGAAAGCTCTTATTTTGAATGACAACTAAGTAATCAAAGAGTATATATGACAACTAGGATCACAGGTAGCATAAACATTAATTTCCTTTACTGTATCTCGGTAAAGGAGTATCACAGGTCAGCTGCAGGGTACTGAACAGTATTTCAGCTTAGCTAATTTTCTCCTAAATAAAAATACAGTATATTTGTTTACTAGGTAATTTGGTGCTGAATCCAGCTTCATATCAAGATCCACCTCCTATTGGAAAGGAGGAGTTGATCCTAAAATTCATTTAATAATCAGGGCCAAGGAAATGGTCCAGGTTCTTACCAACCTTCTTGGGTTAATGAATAGAAGCCTGAAGGCTGGATTGGGTTGACAAAAATGGAATAGGTAGAGGTTTAATTTTCTGTACTGTAATGAAGGGGTGGAGGGGCTACCATCATATTCCATGGGCTTATTATCTTGAAAGAAAAAGCCAAATTTTTTACTAAAGTTTAAGAAGAAGACTAGAATGCATATCATTACCAACACGTTTTATGCTTTTTCTTATGTAGAAGTTACAATTTATTGAACATATTACAGGTAATACGAAGGAGGACACTAACAATACAGATTACCTCGAATATAAAAATAATTTTGTTTACAGATTGACTTTGATGAACCTGATGCTGAAAAGTTCCCTGGCCTTCAACAGCTTAAAGGTGTGGAGGCAGTAGTAGGTCCTGGTGATGTCCTTTATATACCTATGTACTGGTGGCATCACATAGAGAGTTTACCAAATCTTGGTCACACTATATCTCTCAACTTTTGGTACAAGGTAAGTACTGAACCCTTTTTCACCCCTGTATGATACCATAATTACTCAAACATTGTGTGAGCCATAAGATACCTATTTGAATACAGTGGGTCTGATTTTGAGCAGATATATCATACTTGTACACGTCCGCATATCAGAAATCCACACAAGCGATGCCCTTTAACGTGTTAAAATCACTATATTGTACTGAACTCGCCAGACCTTTACCTTAGAACAACTTTAGGTAACCAACTTAACCTTCCAAAAATAACACACAATGTCACATAAAATGCATCTACATTCTTGCATAAATGTTTTAAGAAAGCCCAGGAAGTTAATTATGCAATGCCCCACCGCCACCACTGAATAGTGGAGGCATGGGAAGCTCTGGGAGACGATGGGGGTCTAGGCAGGGGGTGAAGGCTAATCAGATTTAAAGCCTTCAAAATCAACTGCAGACACTTGTAAAGTGACTTCAGCTTCATTACCACTATCCAGAACGATCATCGTCACTGGATTCTCATTGAATTGTTGAGGCATAAAACAGGTGGTGATAGAGCTTGGCGGTGGTGTTTAAACTCCTGATAACGTTGCCTGGCGGGTTCTTTGGTCTGCTCTGGTACCACTATACATACCACCAACGCTGATTTAGCTTGTTGTTTTGTTTATAATTTTTTTTCTATTATTTAAAATGCTATAATATTGTTAAAGAAGAAATGTACACCATAAGAGGCTAATCATACTTAAATATAATAATGGGGGAAGGGAGGGAGGGAGGTGAGGTGATATGTTTGACAGTTGATGCCAAGGTCTAGTGCTTATTTATTTATCTGTCCTTAAGAGTGACTTTAAGTTTTCTCTTATAAAATGTCACTGAACTGACCTGTTCTAATTAATTTTATTACAATGGGCTAAAATTTTTATCTCTTGTGCAAAATATGTGACGTTTATATTCAAAATATTCACTGTCTTGCAAGGATTCTAGCAATGCAAATTATATTCTGCTAACTTTACTCTGATATTATATAAAATAAAACTTAAAGCCTATAACCACTAAACCCTGGCTGGGAAGATGTGGGGGAGGGAGGAAGGGAAGGTGACAGTGACAAGTTTAACAGTTGGGGCCAAAGGTCTAGTGAAGTATTTATTTGTTTATTTATGTCCTTTAGATTGAATTTTTGTTTTTTGCTTATAAAATGTCACAGAAGTGACCAGGGAGAATATAATTTACATTGCTCAAATTCTTATAAGATAGTGATTAATTTTAATATAAACAAGCTATAGTTTGCACTAGACAAAAATTTTAGTAATCATTTAGTACATTATTTTGAGTACATGTACAATACAGCTTAGCCCTTAGGACAATGTAGCATGCCCAGAGAAACATTAGGCGCGAATTTTAAATTATGATGCGCCAGATTGTCTCGCGCACAATAGGAAGGATTCAATTTAAATTAAAACATTGTACTTAATTGTGGGTGTCTCTTTAAATCAATAATCTTCAATTGAAAAACTTTAAATCGATGTTCTACTGTACTTAAAGTTGTTGTGGGTCGGTGTTTTTACACTCGCTCACACACTCATTTCAGTGAAAGTGAAAGTGGTGAGAAGGATGAACTTTAAGAGAATGGGAGACGGGCAAAAATTTAAATCACTCAAATATTTGTGCTTCCAATGATTGACGGATTTCAGCCTTAGAATCCTTGTAACTTGTGTAGTTCCACAATAATTATTTGACCACTTATGTACAAAACAACTTGTAATGAAGACACTTATAACAGGTCCACTTGTAAAGTACTCGGCACTTATAACAGGTCCCCTTGTAAAGTACTCAGCACTTATAACAAGTCCCCTTGTAAAGTACTCAGCATTTATAACAGGTCCCCTTGTAAAGTACTCGGCACTTATATTGGGTCCCCTTGTAAAGTACTCGGCACTTATAACGGGTCCCCTTGTAAAGTAATCACCTGATGCATTGCCAAGGTGAGGAATTATTGGATCTCATGTCCTGAAGATGTCTTGAATAAAGACGAAAATAATATACAGTACAGGAGGTCCCCGACTTACAAAAGCCCGCCAATATGAACAGGGATAAACTTGAAATTTACAGAACAGTGAGTTCTGCTATAACGCGTGTTTTGTCAACGCGAATTGGCTGTAACGCGATTGATGAATAGAGGAACAATATTTGTAAAACGCGAACGCGTTGGCTGTAATGCGATTCCACTCGAACGGTTGTTGTGGCTTGGCTCGGGGTTATGCCGTGTTTACAGTTCACGTTCGACATCACATGTTCAATTGATTTATGTGTTTTGTTTGTGAAGAATTGCAGAAATAATTTATGTAATATTTATGTGTGTGTGATGTAAACAGAGTGCTTGGCCTCTCTCTCTCTCTCTCTCTCTCTCTCTCTCTCTCTCTCTCTCTCTCTCTCTCTCGATTCCCGGGCCGGTGGAAGTTGTTTGGACTTACTTCCCAGCCCCCATTAGTCCCTGTTCACCTAGCAGTAAAGTAGGTACCTGTTGTAAGTCGAAAGTTGTGAATTCGTATTCAGGGAGTTGTTGGAGCTTCCAATAACTTGATGACATAAACCACTGAATCTTCAGGCTTCTACGCCCTTGACTCTTCAGGCTTCTACGCACTTAACTCGTGAAACATTAAGGCAAGCATGAACTTAGCATGCTTCCCTGTTGGGCGCTGTAAACGCTTCTGCGCTTCACCTTACACAAGGATGTAGGGGGGTGCCCAATAAAAAAAAAAATAAAAAAATACTCTTTTCTCTCGCTGTGGGTGTATCCAATTGACTGTATAATAAATTCATTCACTCATAATTTCAAATTCCCTTTTCATCCTGTGTTATATACAGAAATACTTGAGTCCCTGAGCGAGTACACAAAAAGAAAACGGAGGACTAAGACATCCTGAAGTGGATAGAGAACGGACATCTCTACTGGGGGACTCAAACGTTTCTCATGTTTTGTAGGCGCTGTAGCATAATATGAATAATATGTAAATTACAATTTACACATAGTATATGTAAATTGTAAAATTTTAAATAAAAGAGAAAAACTAAATACGTAGCGTTTAAAGTCTACTGTACAGTGTTGTGGCTTGGCGCGGGGTTATGCAGTGTTTATAGTTCACGTTCAACATCACATGTTCAATTGATTTATGTGTTTTGTTTGTGAAGAATTGCAGAAATAATATATGTACAGTATTACCCCGCTTTACACGGTTTCACTTTCCACGATTTCTCATTAAATCATTTAAGCAGTACCATGCCAGAACCGGACTTTCACTTTCCGCGGTGCTCATCTACTCATATACTCAGTGAAGTACAGTAGTACCCCGATTTACGTGGTCAATTGAACCCACAGGGTACCGCGGAAAGTGAAAGTCGCGTAAGGTGAACAACAGAACATATGGGATTAATTCCAATAGAGATTGGCCCCACCCCCAAACTCCACTTTTTCCGACACAATACCTATGTTGTAGTAAAAATAACATCTAAATTTTATGATGGTATGCTCACACAATTAATGTTTAAGAGAAATACAGTCGCCAGGTTAATGTCCATTCAAATAATGGACTCAAACCCCCCCCCACCCCTCTTCCCAGCTCACTAGCTCCTACCTCTCTGAGAAATGATTGGGTGAAACACTAGATTTTAACGTTTAGTAATAAATAATACCTCAGACTAAAGTTAGGATAATATAATTGACATTTCTGGATTCCTTGCAGGTCAGGGAATATTTTGAATGTAAACCTCATATACTTTGCACAAAAGATAAAATACTTGCTTTGTGTAAACCAAATTATTACATTAGATCTAAAATTTGTATGTCTAATGCAAAATCCATGATGTTTATATTCAAAATGATAATCATATTGTAAGAATTCCAGCAATGTAAATTATATTCTGGTCCAGTAATTTGTATGAATTTTATGAGCTAAAACAAATATCTTCAGTTAATAAAAAAAAAATATTCTTCACGACACTATCTGTCAATCAAAGTACCCCAACTTGCCTCCCCCACTCTTCCAACCGTGCCAGATGGTCAGTCGGTCCCAACCCAACCCCCCACCTTCCCTCCCTACCAGAGAAATGTTGGGTGAAAAAACTAGATTTTAACTTTTAGTAATAAATAATACCTCATACTAAAGTTAGGATAATATAATTGACATTTCTGGATTCCTTGCAGGTCAGGGAATATTTTGAATGTAAACGTCATATATTTTGCACAAAAGATAAAATATTTGCTTTGTGTAAACCAAATTATTACATTAGATCTAAAATTTGTATGTCTAATGCAAAATCCATAATGTTTATATTCAAAATGATCATCATATTGTAAGAATTCCAGCAATGTAAATTATATTCTGGCCGGGTAATTTGTGTGAATTTTATGAGCTAAAACATATATCTTCATTAAATAAACAAAGAAATATTCTTCAAGGACACTATCTGTCAATCAAAATACTCCACCCTAGCTGGGTTGGTCCCTCCCTCCCTCCCCCACCTTCCCTCCCTACCAGAGAAGTTTTGGGAGAAAATAGTATATTTACATTTTTAGTAATAAATAATAACTCAGACTAAAGTTAGGATAATATAATTGACATTTCTGGATTCCTTGTAGGTCAGGGAATATTTTGAATGTAAACTTCATATATTCTGCACAAAGGATAAAATATTTGCTTTGTGTAAACCAAATTATTACAGTAGATCTAAAATTTGTATGTCTAATGCAAAATCCATGATGTATATATTCAAAATGATCATCATATTGTAAGAATTCCAGCAAAATATATATATATATATATATATATATATATATATATATATATATATATATATATATATATATATATATATATATATATATATATATATATATATATATATATATATATATATATATATATATATATATATATATATTCTACATGATCCCTGCGTTTCCCACGTTAACGGTGCCTTGCCAGAACCTAGTGCTCACATTCTTGGTGCGTGATGAACCCCG